AAATCTAAAAGTGTTGGCACTCCATGATCTGACAAATCGATCTTACCACTGTACATATATCTTATATAATGTATAATCATAGAAGTCAATTGCGATTTAATAACTTTAAAAACACTATCATTAAAGATTACCTCAATAAGGCTTCAAAAACACGCGGTTCAATATTTGGTTTCTTAAAGACGATCAGTTTGTTAGATTCTCGTTTTACCCACGCATCAGAAAGAGCAATAGCAAAATATTCCGATTGCGCCACTAGTATAGATGAATGCGCAGTAAAAATTCGCTCAGCATTTTGAATATCTCCAACAATGATCGAAATGTCGCAATATTTGGCATTTTCATAAAAATTTGCCAATTTATTAGAGTGTGAAGTCAATAAGAAGTCAGCCTTCATTGTAAATTTTTTTACTTTGCCTTTTTTATGTGATAACGATAAATTTAACGTCAAATTCCTTCCTTGTGTTCAACAAGCGCTAAATTTATACATGTAATGGATCATGATGAAAATATTATGCAGATCGTGCTGTCATGAATAGTACCACCTGAGCAAGATCCCGCGAAAAATTCCCATAAACATTGATGTCGCTTCGCAAATTCTTACAAAAACTTTACTTTTTAATATCAACATTGATGCTGCCTCCCCCAACAATGAGAATTTCTTACAAAAATTCTTTGTGATCACAAGATTTTTATTGGAATTTTACGTTATTCTTTTGATCCAGAGAAATGATTCCATTTTTTTTTTTTACAAAAATTCAACATTTTGTATCGTACAGAATAATTTTATTACTTTATTTCATTTTAAAATTTTTATTAATTTCTTTTATCTTGAAGTACCATGCTCCTTTTTGTAAAATTCTAACAAAATTCATGCTTGGTACTTTAGACCCGCGAAATCTGTAATGAAATACTAGTTATATAATAACCAAATTGTATATAAAGGACATCTCTCAAGGTCTAAGTGTATGATATGAATAAAAATAACTATTTAAAAATTATTTTAACTCTTACCAACTGCGCCTAGCTTTTTATTTCTTTTGATATATAAAGTTGATGCGTATTCTTTATTATTGGATTATTTGATTATTTGCATTATTCTTTTGGCATAAACCACTTTTTGTGATTTAGATTGAATCTAGTTAGTAAATTTTATAGTTGTTTTTGAACAAAATTATATTTTATTGGTAATTAGTAATTAGTTGCTGATTTAAATATTGTTCGATACTTTACCTTTGCCCTTGAATTTCTTTACTTTCGGTTGCACAATCTCGTATAAGATTGGCATAGGACCTTAATGGTACCCCTCTGCATATGATACTCACAAATGTAGTAAATATATTTTTTTTATCAAGAATAGAAGTTGTATAACGACTGGGTGTAAACAATCCGATAAAGATGATAATTATTCAATGATTCCTTTATATGAACTATAAATGTACATAATTTGAGAAAAGAATAAATAATAAATATATGCGAAACAAAAGAAATTGAAACACTTTTGGTTCGAAAATTAGCGAACGTTAATATCTTCGAGTTTGTGTGAAAATACAATACTAATATCAAAAGCTGTTTTTATCACAGAAGAACTCAATTAAAGAAATTGATGAAATTAATAATATCAATATAAAGTTTACCTTCATTTAGAACATACAAACTAACACTCATAGAACCTAAATTTTTGATATATTTAAAGCGAATATAGAACCAAATGTGTGTAACCTATATCTGATATTAATTTCGGAATAAAAATTTGGTATAAATTGCATTTGATTAGACTTTTTGTTTCTTATTTTTATTCGTAGAAATGTATTTTTATATTTACATCTGCTTGTCTTTCTAGTTTAACACAATCTTCAAATTTCATAACTTATTTTAGGATATTCTAAAAAGCTGTAATACTGAAGATGAAAAGTATTCAATTCCAGATCTTCTTCGTCGTCATTGTCATCGTTGATAGACCAGCAGTTGGTCTGTTTTCCGGAGTAAGATGATAGCAAATTTGTATATTCTTGATATTGTAGGTCGTACTCCTTTATAAATGTCTAATACTAGATGTATATCATAATTTGGTTCAGACAAATTGGTTATAATTTCATACTATAAATATAAATTTTTCTATAATTGTTGAATGCTAAGTCCAAAATTAGCAATTTGAGAACTAATACATAGGGTATTAGTCACGATAAAAAACTTTTTCCTTGTGAATCTTTTACAAGATAATATCATTTTAATATCTTGCTTTTTGATTCCAAGTCAATTTGCATAGTTGGAATTAATATGCATCACTATCGAATATTCATTTGTAATTGGATTTTTAGTTATTCCATAATAATTAATATCATAACTGTATTTAAGGGCAGTTTGAATCTATTTTAAAAAAATTTGATTGAATTAGAAAAAAAGCAATTTTCACTTTATAAAATGTTCATTTTTACCTCGTTTATAAATTCTTGAGTAGTAATCTTTGAAATGTGTAATGATTTCAATACAACTATAATTACTCTATCTCGTTTCAATTTATTTTTTCATGATTCCACTTGGGTAAGTCATTGGTTATTGGTCCATCTAACAATGTTGCTTTATAAATCGACTAAAACTCCTTTGCAAGATATTCAATTTTGGATTCGAGTATATTATTATATTTATAATTAATTTTGTTGCATTCTTTGACATATTAGATTCTCGATATTTTTATTTCCATTTAGATAATTCATCGTTATAAATTCATTTGAGATATTGAACAGTCATCGAAGTAGTACTTGTTTGTTGACAAACAAATACTTATCGCGGTAGCAATTATCTCTTTGAAGATATTCGATTCCAACTTTGAGTTCTCTTTATAAAATGTGTCAGAAATGATAAACAATAGTAAAACCAATGAGACGAGATAACAATTAGAATAAATACACTCAATGATGATATATTAAGTAGTTAAGAATTAAGAAAAAGCTAAAAAACATTAGTTTATGCAGATGAAGATTGTTAATAGCTAAATTTGTTTTCCGCTATTAATCATTTATCATTTAATGCTGAACAAGTGGCTTTTAACAATTCATATGTGTTCTGAATAAAGATGGCTCCTCAACTAGTTGCGGCTTGCGGCAGCCAATCAAAGAATTGCGACAGAGTTGCGGCAGCCAATCAGAGAATTGCGATAGAGTTGCGGCTAGTTGCGGCTAGTTGCGGCTCCCATCACTAGTTCTGAAATCATACGTCATTTATTTGAAGGGTTTTCATCAATAGCTTGAGTTTGCGATTACGACCTTAAAGAATTACAAGTAAAAAGTAGTGGACATCGAGTATTGGCAAGTAATAATGTAATAATAATTTGACACTTGTGAGTAAAAAGAATAGTTTATCATCATAGATATCTAATAGCTTATTAATTGTAAATCAATTAATTATTATGTAAATATACTAACGCAATATCGATAATAAGTCTTTTAAAAATAACAATTTAATATAACGTAATTAGAGTCTAAATAAAACTTGCATTTCCCACTTTAATAACTTTTTACTATCAGTTTTTATCCGCTCAGCTGTACTTGCATCTGCAGTGCCTTGCGTGTTCAGTATTCTTCTACCAAGATAACATTCTTTTTAACTCCGTTTAACGAATTTGTATAATTAGTAAGTGAAACACATAGTATAATTATGAGTCCGATTATGGCTATGTAATACTGCATGGCGAATCGCATGTCATAACACGTTTTATTTATCATAAATTGGGTGGGACCAATGACCTAGTTTGGCCAGTAGGAGATACCATATTAACCATAACATCAGTTCATTTGTTAGAACATATGATTTATGCTTTTTCGCTCAAGCCCGCCTCTTCTCTTATTGCAGTAGAGCCATGTTTCCGATACCGTATCCACGATAACCATAGCTATCGAGATTAAAAAAAGTATTACGAGACCTGATTGTTAATTAAATGTGCAATAAGCTCGGATATTAATTGCAGTGTTATGGGAGGAACATCAGCAGTTTGTGCACCAGCATAGATACTAAAACTGAAGGACGTGCCTGCTGGCAACCAAAGACTATCATTACTTATTAATATGCTGTTGTTAGGAAGGTTTTCTCCGGATTTGACTCCTCCCCACCAAGGTTCCATATCAGAAATATCAAGATTAGCCGTTTCAATATACCATTGGGCCAGAATAGTTCGCATGTTCAATACATGAATTGGCTTCTGTTCAATAGATTACAATTCACGCCAGCTTTAACTGCGCCAGCACAGGCGTACAAGATTTGTACGATTCCTCACTCAGTAATTTTGGGTAGTCCTAATAATGTCCAGCATTTGACGCCAACGATATGATCTGAAATATACTCTATATCGCCAAACCCAGCACATTCAATTTCTGCGTTACTTTGAATTGCTGAATTGTTGTCTACAAATTCGTGGAAAATCTCGATAGTCTTTGGCTCATCAGTGATGTCATGCTCAATAAAATTTCCATTTGATATCATATACATTTGTCTTGTAACACTCGATTGACTGTACCTGAGACTTCTTGATGAAAGATCAATCACCAAGCGATTGTATATTTGGTTGTCGTAAGTCGATCTTGCTAATGAATATTTTTGCTATATTGTGATGTCGTTCTTGTATTTGTTATATTATGCTATGCGATCTGTTTAAGATTAGCTGATTGATAACTGACATGTGGTTGTTGCCACATGCCTTCAATCGCCCAACTGAATTTCTTACCAGCTTTATCTCTTGGTTTAATCGCTTAATTCATCAAGAGTCCATCATTATCATGTTCTACAATCATCCTGTCAATAATGTTTTAACCCGTTTTGTGCACTTGCAGTAACGCCCAACATAAAATCGAAGCCAGAATATGAAATATTATCTCGGTTATTAGTTGTCAACAGACGGTACCTATTGTTTTGTTATTATATGTTTTGTTAAAGTCATCTACATATGTCTCATCGACATGCAACCGATCCTTCATTCCTGGACATGGTGCCAATTCGGGATCGTAAGCACCACATATCTTAATTTGCGATAGCTGATGTGTTATTAACCGCACGACTAAGTAAATCCGGATCAATAACCTCCATATCAATAGACGCGTTATACACTACCGTACAAGTCTGGATACCAAATGGCGCAATAGCCGATAAACCATGCAATATTACTGGACATACCCCAATAAGTAAATAAAATAATGTTACGTTTATGCGATCCGATATCTTATAACTTAATTCCTGTTGACGCCAATTGATCACCTGCTCCATAAAAAACTAAACAGACTATGCTGAGTTACTTTACTTAAAGTTGTCCATTCTAGGGCTGTCACTCTATCACTAATGTTCTCTCTTACTTTTAATATACTTCTGGACAAGTCTATTAGGATCAGGTTTCTATTATCCCATTATTTTCTTTGGTAGTAAGAAACAGATTTCAATAAAAGGACAGAGTGACTTGTGAGAAAATTGCAAATTTATTAACTAATTTTACGGAAAAAGATAATATAATTTCATATGCAAAATTAACTTTTCTACTTTAAATTTAAATTCTCATTGTTGACAGATGTTATTATTATACGCACATATCAATTAAATTTAATCTCATGCGTCCAGTCGTTATACATATCCAGATTGATTTATAAGCAAAGAGAATTCAGCACCTTTAATTTTATCTCATTCTTTATTAGACTATTCATATCTTTGTTTTCAGTTGTTATAAATTCTTTTGCGATACATTTTTTTATATTTACTACAATCATGAGTCTATTCTTGACAAGAACACATTAATTACATTCATGATTGTTATAGACTGAATACTCAACACAGTGCTTTATAGCCAGCACTCACTGCAATTTGTATATCTGAAGTATTAAACCACTTTATAAAATGTTTATTGTGCAGTCAAGTTCATGAAAGATAGTACAGAACGCACGTAAGGGTTAGACATGTGTTTGAGATTAAATTTATTTACAAGTTAATGTCACTTTATTATTCAAGTAGGTGTCCTCATATGGTTGTGTTTGGAGATGTGAATCGTTTTATGAAACTGATGTATGTATATTGAATAAAGCACACAAGAGAGGTAAATTTAGAAGGCATATGAATAAAATAACAATAAAAGTCTATGTTTAGCTCGATTCAATTATTTTGAAACTGTTCATAAAAGCACTAGCTATATTTTCATTTTCTTTGATGTACTAAAATCAAGATCTGTTTTGCATCGAGATGCTGAATTAAAAATCAATGAAAAACATATATTGTTAAGTCACTTGAGAAATGTTTTGTGATACATGTCTCTAAATCTCGTTATACTATCTTTCGCGATTTCCCTTTTTCGTAATACATGTACATTTACATGAGTTCGTTGCTTTTAACATACCGATACCATAATGATAAAGGTAATCATAATACCACCATTAAATGCTTTTTTAATACCCTGAAAGGATCGACTTATGCCAGCCAATATCTTTTGGTATTGATTGTGTTTGCAAAGGTTTTTTATTGTGAGAAGGTCTTACTTGAAAATATTCTATCTTAACATTTCGTGGCTTGCCCTAAGTGAAGCATAAAGTTCTTCATTTCGTTTATTGGATAATCTACTCGTCAGGATGCTTCTTCGCTGAAGATATCCTTGAATACTCTATATCAATTTCTTTGTTAGTAAGACTCCCGTACAATGTGTCGTCTCATTGGCATTCGTCATTGAGCTAGTCGTCATTCCATTTCTCTAATATTGCTAAGCACTTCATCATTATCGTTTACTTCAAAACGCAAACAATTCATTAAAGATTGGATAATGCTATAATATCCCACTTTATTAAAGTATGCTAAATGACAATTTCACAATCATAACAGTGATTTATTTATGCTAGTTCATTTATTGTGTTGCATGATATTATTTTTACTAACGTTAATATGTTCCAAGCAGGGATGATAAATAATAAAAGTTGTCGTGCAACTAATAAATTAAAATTTTTATTAATAAAAATGAAAACAGTCATCATTTTCTTTTGATGAAACAGAATATTGTTCTAAAGCTATCCAATAGTACTTTTTTTTGACATTTCTATGGAATTAATAATTTTTTCTATCGCTATATATTGGAATGATAATGGCAAAGACGTAATGTGTTTTTTATAACATTACACACAAAAATACGTAGAAATTTATATGTCTCGTCTTTTACTCTTACGTAACATGGAGTAATTATTCTTACTGATGTTTCAGTATGAAAAGTAAGTTCTAACATCGTTCTGTAAGGCACGGTCAAATGGCATTTTATTCAATATTGAAATTTAATTTTTAACCATCCGAATGTGATATGCAACCACACGCCATCTATTCGAAATGTCATCAACAATAGCTTGAGTTTGCGATCACGATCTCAAAGAATTACAAATAAAAAAATTGTGCCACCCGAATATTGTAAGGTATCAAAGTAGCTGTGATGAAATAGTAATTTTGCCAAAAAGCTTCGAATATTTTATCATTATGGATGTCTGATCGCCCATTGGTTTATAAATCAATTAATTATTCTATTATTCTATGTAAATGTACTAAACAACAAAGTATATATCGATAATAGTCCTAAAAACTCTTCTAAAATAACCTTTTCTATTACATTAATATAACATATTAAGAGTCTAAATAAAACCCGCCTTTCCCATTTCTAATAACTTTTTGCCATCGGCTTTTACCCACTCCGATGAGTCTGCTGTACTTGCATCTGCAATAGCTTGCGTGTTCAGTATTGCTCTACCAAGATCCATTTGCCGAATAATTTGTTTAATTCTGGTTAATGAATTCCTCCTATGATTAGTAAGTTCTACGCATAGTATAATTATGAGTCCGATTATGGCTATATAATACTGCATGGCGAATCGCATGTCATAACATGTTTTATGCATCATAAATTGGATGGGACCAGTGACCTTAGTTTGGCTAGTAGGAAATACCATATTAACAACGATATCAGTCCATTGGCGTTGGAACATACGATTTATGCCTTCTTCGCTTGTGCCCTCCTCTTTCCATTGCTGCAGTAGAGCCAGGTTTCTGATACCGTCTCCACGATAACTACGATAACCATAGATGTCATTACCACTAAAATCTGTTATTATATTCAACGCAGTACCAGGGACACCAGCAGTTTGTGCATCAGCGGAAGTACCCCAAGAGAAGGACTTTCCTGTTGGTAACCAAAGACTATTATTGCTTACTAATATGCTGTTGTTAGGAATTTTTTCTCCAAATTTGACTCCTCCCCACCAAGGATCCATATAAGAAATACTATTATTAGCCTTTTCAATATACCAATGGGCCGGAATGGTTTGCATGTACAATACACTGATTTGCTTTTGTTCATCAGATTGCAATTCAATAACCTTTACGCTAGCTTCAACTGCGCCAGCACAGGCGTATAAGATTTGTTCGACTCCTCTCTCAGTAATTTTGGGTGGTCCTAATAATGTCCAGCATTTGACGCCAACAATATTATCTGCAACATTGTCTTCATAGCCAAACCCAGCGCATCTAATTTTCATATCAGATTCAAGTGTTGAATTGAAATCGAGTCTGAGGAAAAAGAAGAGGTCGAAAGTCTCGATAGTCTTTGGCTCCCTGATGCTTTTATACACTGAAGACTTAAGAAAATTTCCATTGGTTGTCATATTCATTTGTTCTATGATAATTGATTGTATCAACTGACTGTACTTGATACTCCTTGATGAGAGATCGATTTTTTGTCCTTTATCACCAAGTGGGTGTATATTTGGTGGTTGTAAATTGGTATTGGGAATAACCATTTTTGCTACCCAGTTAAAAATTCCTGTTTTATTTTCCCATGCGATCTTTGTAAGGTTAGTTGATTGACAACTGACATGCGGTTGTAACCACATGCCTTCAATCGCCCAGTTGAATTTTTTGCCAACTTTATCTCCAGGTTGAATCGCTTGATTCATCAAGAGTCCGCCGTTATAATGATCAACAATCATCCTGTCAATGATATTATAACCCGTTTGTGTGCTTGTAACAACTCCCATCATAAAATCGCCGCTAGGATATGAAATATTACCAATTCTGCTTGTTGTCAACATACGGTACCTCATTGCATTGCTACTATATGTTTTGTTAAAGTCAGCTAAATATGCCGCATCTACATGCAAATGATCCTTCATTCCCGTGCATAAATGACATAACCTAATTTGTGATAGCTGATCCAGAGAAAACATATTATTAACCGCACGACTAAGTAAATCCGGATCGACAATCTCCATATCAACAGATGCGTTATACATTACTGTACAAGTCTGAATGCCAAGCGGTGCAATAGCTGATACACCATACAACACTACCGGACATATTCCAATAAGTAAATAAATAATGTTACATTTATGCGATCCAATATGCCATAACTTAATGCCGGTTGACCACCTGCCCCATAAAAACTAAACAGACTATGCTGAGTTAATTTACTTAAGGTTGTCCATTCTAAGGCTGTCATTTTATCACTAATATTATTCAATATCACTGTGACACCTATCGCACCAATAACTATTGGTAGCAAAGTGCTGATAACACCAATTAGCACTGCTAATTGACCAGCACTCAAATTAACTATCATCGTTATCGTAATCATTCTATATTAGTTTGAAAAGTTATCGAATGCCGAAATGATTGTTTTCGTTTTTGTAACAGCGCTTGTCGTGTGTGCTGATATTCTGATAAAAGTGAGCGACTCCTAACAAAAAGAATTTGATAGATCATATCTTTATATTTTCAAAATTAGCTGCGGAATTTGTCCAAACGATACAGTAATTTATTTAACGAAACAATCAAAATTTTTGCCAATTCCGAAACAAAGCAATGAGTCATAACCAATAAAAGTCCACCAATACGATCCGATAGTTAACCCGATATAACTATTTACAGAAATTAAATTAATCCATGTGGCACAATTATATTGAAAATTTTATTGAAGTTTTACCATATATGGAATTCTTAAAGGCAGGCGTTATGCTAATGCATTCGGATAAAAGTTAGGATATAAAATCTGAGACTTTCCGCCTGCATGTACATGTACATGTAGCATCGGTGTACATGTACATGTACTTTTTTGTTTGATCATGCAATACGCATTAACGTTGACTCTAAAAGTTTACGGCGAATTCCTTTTCATGTTAATGAATAAGTCATCATGTAATCAATTATTTTTATCGAATTTCTGTCTTTTTTTTGTTTCAAATGTTTTTTGAATACCATAATTAGTAATAAAATAAAATATTACTTGTAATATGTAATATATTTACAATATCCCACTTAAATGTAATCCTTTGTCATAGACATATCGTAGAATAAAAGATAGTCCTCTGCTGTTAATTGATGAATTCCGAGAAAATTTCACAATTAAATAAAGCGCATGTAGATTCAGAATGAAATCTATTGTACACTGCTATTATCTTCATGACTTAAAAAGAAAATTTCTTTTGTAAATACAAACTTCGAATCTTTTATTATGCATGTATGTACATGTACAACTAAACAAAAGTTTGAACCTCACACTAATTAGGCGTTCACATAATCCTACGAACAAAATTCTTCCTGAAATAAAAAAGATGATAGGTTTATGGTACATAATTATGGTTATTATATTTTTCTCTCAATATTTAAATTGCTGATATGATACATCTTACATAGTCAATTCTATTCTGTTTTATTTGCAACTTTTTGTCCCAAACAAAAAAATTTTTAAGTGAACTTTGAGGTGCTATATGATTATAGTAAAATAGTACACGCTATGCCCTTTTAAAACAACAATTGTCATTTTTATAATGTACATTATGTTAAAAAGTTGGAAATATGACAAGTCATAAAACTTGTTTTATAATGATAATTTTTTAAATTTCACTTATCAATTGGATATGAATGCTATATGATTAATATATAAATAAGGTAAAAAATGAATATTTTCTAAATTTAAAGGCTTTTTGTTTTCTGATACAATCAAATTTTCAAAATAGATTTAGATGCTCTTAAATATAGTTGTGTTTATATTATATGTAATGTAAATATATCAATTTTAATTACGAAAAAGTCGAATTGGAATCAAAAATTATGTTACTTGGAATTCCAACAATTATAGAAAATCTAAACATAGAAATTTGTGTTATATGAGTCCAGAGTACTAAATGGAAAACCATACACTAACGCTGCATATATTTATAATCTGGAATGGTTATGCACGAAATTGTAACCGATGAATTTGGTGAATGGAGTCATGTTATACATCTCGTATTTGACATTTGCAATAGAATACGACCTACGATGCCAAATATTTATTATTGAAAAATGTTGGGATCCTATTCTAGAAAACAGATAACTGTAGAGTCTTATCAGATCAATTGACTCTGCTAAGGATATCATTAAATAAAATAGGAAGGCGAAACATAATATTTTGCAACAGATGAAGAAATTAAAGAGTGCCTTAAACAAGAGGGCAAAAATTAAAATGGCAAAAATCGTACGGCAAATTTACATCAGTCCCAGCTGATACTGATGCGTACATTTAATTTAATGTTCAATCAAAAAATTATATCAAATATTTAGGTTCTACAAGTGTTCGTTCTTTAACCCAAACAAAATACTTGTTTGCATATACTGTTGCGCACGCTTTGGGAATTAATGAAATTAAGGGTGAGTGTAGAAAGGCAAGAATGAGAACGAGAAGAAGAATGAATGATTTATGATTAAAGATTTTCTTTAATCTTCTAAAGGTCTCCTGTGATAATTTGTACGCAAATTAACATTTTTACAAATGGTTTCGATGGAGTGCCAACTAAATTTCTATAACTACAACAAGATAACACATTTTATAATGAGACCAAGAAATTAAATAATTCAGATGGTTTCAGCTAACCAAAAATTACAGTACACAAAATCAAAGGTTGGACATAGTTCTGCCAACAAATTCAAATTTGAATTATGGATTATTTAGAGTGAAGGTCATTCACTACTTATACGCAAGTTTTGAAGATAATCAAATAGAATGTATGTTCACAAGTATTTTTATTTAATTATAGCATGTCGTTCAAAGGCTAAAATCTCGCTTTTATATACAAATTGATGTTACTAATATATCTATGTTATTTTACTCTAAGTTAAAATTATAGCATCTGGAGAATAAGATTAAAGACAATACAAATGATGTCAATAAAGGAGTATTAGAGAGAACAAGGACATGAATCTCAAGAAACATCGATTTAGAATGTTGAATATCATTAAACATACTGTATATGTTTTTAAGAAATTAATTGAACATCGAAAAACATAATAAACAAAATTAATAAGGGAGATTAAAGAGTAAGCTTACGAATGGTATTGGACGCTAGTCCAAAATTATGGTAATATTTGTGAGGGGAACTTAAGGAATCACAAATCTCAATTTTATCAATGTTGGAAATCTCATTTCAATTTTTTTTTTTTTTTTTTTTTTCCAAAAAGAGAGGGTGAAGCAAGAACCCATTTATTAAATAAATGCGTGATATAAAATTAAGGTACAAGTGATTTACATAATAGGTCTATTTGTTTGGTAAATTTATTATTTCGGGAACTATCTAGATGAATTTTCGCATCTCTGAGGAGAATGTGTGGAGCTGCTTTTATGATTTGAGTTTCAGACTCTTCGATATTGAGGTTAAGTCTAGCAGAAGCCTGCCAAACGTAATCAATAAGCCAGGAGGAGAGCCAGAGAGTAGCAAGAGAGAAGTCATTAGGATGTTAATTTAGGATATGGATAAAGGTAATGCATCCATCAAGATGACGTATGATTTCTTGTATAATCATCTTGGTGAATGAGCATTCTTGAAGAAAGTGTTAGTGTGTTTGAGGAGATATAGAGCACCACTGACAGAAGATAGAGTCAATGAAGAAAGACCAGGAGATCCATTTCTTCAGGGTTAATGCACTACAATGTCATTTCCACATGTTCACGTGAGTCTGTAGAGAAAGGTTAATTATGCCCAGGTTTTTCCATAACACATTTTTAACTTCCGGCCACACTTTTTTGAGATATATTTCTTTTTTTAACTTGGTAGTGATGAGGGAGGTAGAGGAAGCAAGAAAATTCAGTCTACCCACCAGAAACCAATTTTTTACAAAGGGTCAGTAGGCTGTTGGCCAGTCTTTCTTTTTGTATTGAAGATGGATTTTGTTG